TTTTTTTTTTTTTTTTTTTTTTTTTTTTTTTGTAAACCATATTGCAATTCTTGTTATCATTTTCAATGTAATTTGCATTAATTCTGAATTTTCTTAAAGCTAACTTTTAAATAATTTTAAAAAAGTAATAATTCAAAATACCTTTGAAAACCGCCTTTTTTAGTGTAGTTTCTAAAGGATAATCAAAATTTTTGAAAACTTCGTGTTTCAAATTTATTACGTTAAAAGAATCTTTTTTTTAAGTACTACCGCATCAAGCTGTTTTTTTTTATTCAATGCTTATATACTATTCTACCAATGGCGTCTCGCAGTTCCTTCCAGTGAAGTAGGGCCTACAACTGCAACTATAGTTTCCAGGCTCATACATACATATACCGTTGTTTCGACACGGATTTGGATCACAAAAATCTTTCCGAGTTTCGCAGATCTTACCAGTATAATCTGTGTAAAAACTTTTGTTTAAAAATGAAAAAAATTTTGAAGAAAGAATTTTTAAACGTTTCAAAAGCAATCAATAAAAAATTTTTAAAATTAAATCAGTTATATACCATCACTGCACAAACATTCGTAAGATGACACGTTGTTTTTGCATATTCCATTATTCAAGCATGGATTTCGCAAACCACAGTAGTCAATGCTTTCATTACAGTATCGCCCTTTGGTACCATTTGAACAGAAACAAACGAAAGTGTGATTAGACAATGTTTCACAGGTTGCCCCAGGAGCACAAGGTGAATTGACACATAAATTTTCGAGATCAATGCAGCGTTCGCCTAAATTCCAAGGCAATTTTAACTTGCTTCACCTTTACACAACACATCAAAAGTCGTGACCCAAAACACTAATTCTTTTTCTGCAGACTTATCAAAAAAACATTTTGACGTTGTTAGCACGTAAATAAAATACCTGTCCAACCATCCGGACAACTGCAGTCATATGTTCCGTTATAACCCGGTGTTCTCATTTTACATTTGCCGCCATTCGCACAGGGCTTTCTTGTACAAGGGTCAATTTCATTCTAAACAAATTGTCATTGCTGCGTAGCTACACCCTTATGATTATTAGACAGAACGTTCAAATAAGTGATTGTTTCTAATGAGCAATCTCTCGGTAAATAATGTCACAAAAAAGGTGTCGTCTAAAGTATGATTTGAACTATAAATTAAATGACAATTTTTTTCAACCTTTAAAGAAATCAAAAAACTAAATTACTACCGTGCAGTTAGCGCCTTTATAACCGCTGAAACAACTGCAGGAGTATCCTCCATCTTTGTTAGCACAGTTGTTATTGTTGCAAGGATCTGGATCGCAGAAATTTCTTTCATGATCACACTTATCTCCCTCATAATTGAAATCACATTTGCAATGACCTTGTAGGTCACTTCCACTATATTCACAACGACCATATAAGCACGGTGTAATATAACTTTGATATTCAAGATTTTGATCTTGATGGCATGGAGCAACTGTTTCGCAACGTTCTCCACGAACAGCTAGAAGTTTAAACTCAAAAATTAAATCATGTTTGAAAATATTAATTGTTGAACTAATGCGAAGAAACACTCAATACCTGGATTTGCGCAGTCACAAAGGAAATATCCAGCAATATCGTCCATGTGCGATTCACATTTTCCGAATTGACAATTCATTTCGGTCTCTTTGCAGTAATCAATTTTTTCTGAACAATTATCTCCACCATACCCTGGGCGACAAAGACACTGTGCTCTTTCTTCTCCCGTTGAAGTGTAATTTACATAGCATATTCCATGAGAAGAACAATTGTGGTAGCTGCAGGGGTTTTGTGGAGAAGGAATAGTAGATGACCAGCTTGAGCTTGAAAAACTTGAAAAATAGGTGCCTGTAGTATTCGCATTATCTGTAGGCACGGATCTGACAGTAATCTTTCTGGTTTCAAAGGAGGTATCATCAGTAGAACTTGTCCTAAAGTTATAGGAGAACTCTTTACTTGTTTCTGTTTCCTTTGAAACAGTAGATGATAATTTTTTGTCACTACTTGTTAATTCAGTCGTTGAATCGACTTCAGTAGTCTGTCCACTAATGAAAATCGTCAGATCACTATTAGCATCAGGAAGAGTTGAAGTGTTTCTGCCTGGATCAGGGGTCGCCAGATCGGTTACAGTATCAGACGTTGCAGCATCAATGCTGGTATCAAAAGTTGTTTTAGCACTGGCACCATATGCTGATACTATACTACCACTCACAAGACCTTCTGTAAGAATTGATGCACCAGAACTTGTGGTAACCGATGATCCAATAGTACCGTCAACAGCAGTCGTGCTTTTGAAATCGATAGGCGATGTGGAACTATATTTATCACCGATTGTTGTCAAGTGTTCAGTTCCTGACGAGTCTCTATTCGTATCAAATAAGACTGTATTAGAACTCGCTTCAAACGTTTTCGTCGAATCTTTGTCATTAGAATGCACCGAAGTCGCCTGAAAAGTTTCAAAGCCCAAAATTGCGTCAGTAGTTCTAGAGGAACCAGTTACGGAACTTACAGAAGAAGGTGCCGCATCAGTGTTGCTAGAAAACTTTGTATCCTTGTCAGCGTTAGAAACTGCTGTGACGGTTTTCTTTGAAAACGATGTCACACTGCCATTATCATGGGGCACTGTATTGGTTTTCAAGAATGGAATTGGTTTGTTGCTATTAAAATAAAAAGATGCCAAAGTATTAGCTGTACTAGATATAGCTGCTTCTGTTCCGCTTTCAGATAAAACACTATTAGTGAAATCATGACTGGTTGTGAAAGTGTCGCTACGGTAATAACTTGTTACATTATAATCAGCTAGCAGTTTCTCAAAAGCAGTTTCGTCGCCAAAAGGTACTGACTGGTACTTGTTAAGAATGGTATTCGCGTTAGACCTGAGAAACATCTTGTCAGAGGTTCTATTGATTTCACGACTTCCATAAAGAGATGTGTTCGAGGATAACACGTTAACATCGACATATCCATCTGTTTTCATATCGCTTTTGTCCACTGGGGTTGACCGAGTAATTATATCGGAAGAAGTGATCAGATCAGAAGATACGTTGACATTACCACTAGGAGTAACATAAGATTTCGTGTCTGCGGCGTTAAGGTTACTCACGGGTAGAACGCTCGTCGTAGCTGTTTCTATATTTTTGTCACCGTAATCCGTAAAGGAAACGCCTAAAAGCTTTTATTACAGTGTAAAATAGAGCAAAATCGTTGAGTCATTATTAAAAAAACCCAAAGAAAAACAGATTTATAAAAAAAAAGAAGAAAAATTACCTTTCAAATCTATAATTTAATCTTTTTAAAAAAATTTTTAGGGTTTATATATCTAGCAGAAGTTCCATAGAAACTTTTTCGATGCTTTTAAATAGGAGCAGAAAATACTGAAATAAATAACAATAATTTCTGGTTGATTAAATCTTCACAGGTAGGTGTGGTAAGACTGGTTTATTAAAGTAAGCTTTAATCTAAAAAGTTTCAAAAATATTACAAAAGTGAAAGTAATGCACTTTATTTTAGGAAAACACTGCTAGTACCTTTCTGGCAAATCCCATTCTGACATCGCTCTGAAGAAGACGTGAAACGCTTCTGCCGAACTCGACTTTGGCATCGAACTCCGAAGTATCCTGAAATTTTTGTGTCGATGTTCCTCATTAAACTCAGAAATTCCAGCAAAGTTATACAGTAAGATTTGGTAACAAACTCTTAAGCCAACAGTACAAGTTTAGAACAAAACAACAAAACCAAGACTACTTGTTCACGCAAATGAACTTAGTTGAAACAAAGCAGTTCCAAAGCCTAAAAAAATCAAAATTGTATACTCCTTTGTGTTTTTTAACCTTGCAAAACAAAGAAAAGTTCTTTTTTGGGTGGCCAGATAGCAGATCTGCTCAAAATGAGAACCTTTAATTGTTATAAAATCGAAATATCGAGGTTCTTTCATTGTTGTTAGGATACATTACCCTATCAAGTTGTAATCAAGCTTCCTTCAAAGTTCTTTAAGAAATTTCTGTAAAAGTAATTTTTTGGAGCTTCATCAAGGTGGGTGATTTGGCATTGTGTTCAAGTGTCGTGTAATAGTCTTCTTTAATGTCCAGCTGTCTCTAGCGCTTTGGTTTCTCAATACCTCTAAGATATCAGTGAGTGTTGCCATAACCAAACCAATTAATCTCGTTTTAAATTTGCGTCTTTCGTTCACCGGAAGGAACTATTTTTGTTACTGTTTTCTGTATAAATAGGTTTTTATTAAAGATAATTTTTTTACAGTTTCTCTCTCTCTACACATAAGCAAGGCTAGAAATAAGAGTTCAGTCTTCCAGGAACTTGACATAAAAGAGCTGCTGAGATTATGACAAGATTGCAGTATTTCGATAGAAGAGAAATTCACTGTAGTAAGAGGGTTTAGTTAAGCCATAATTTAATTCAGATTAAAGTTACTTTATAGATTATAAGTTTCACTACATTTTCTGCTGAGAGAAAAGTGAAATTTGTACGTGTCAGTAGTTTTTACTGATTTGGTAGATTCAAAAAAAAATATTGAATAGTAACAGAAATAATAAAAAAATATACCGTTCCTGCAAATACATAAAAGCGAGCCGCTGTTAACTTTGCAAGTAGCTCCGTTAAGACAGTAATTTGCTTCACAGAGCGACGTAGCGATTCCGCAGTCGGCTCCTGTGTATCCAATGGGACACTGGCATTGAGTATCTTTACATTTACCACCGTTTATACAGTTGAATTCCCCGCAAGATAATGCTATATCAAAATTACTTACAGTGAAAACATACAACATTCTACTATGATTTCTCTAAAATACTGTGTACTGCCGTCCAGAATAAGCTTTTAAAAATGAACAAGTGCTTAAAAAGTTCTGTAGGCATCGAACTAAAGCTTTCTCTTTCAAAAAGTTGCAAAAAAAAGTTAGGTGTGAAATTAGCATAAATGAAATAAATAGATACTTTACTTCTAAACAGATGTAAAATTAATTACTAAAAATTTCCAAATATTTACTTTTAAATTTTATATTTTGACTGCTTAATATTTGAAAAAATTCTTAAACCAAGTCCTGAACAAAGTGCGAGAAGAAAACAGGTAGTTTTAGAGGTAGCGTAAACTGAACTTGCGATAAAATTTTTTGACTGTACCTCTACAGAGTAGAGACGATGCCGTCATTGCAGACACTGTCGTTGTGCCCGGAGGACATCGTTGACAAGTATTCTGCCCTTCAGTTTCTTGATAGAACCCTATGGGACAAGCTTCACAAGGTTCGTAACCGGTGCTGCTAAAGAATCCAGGCCGACACTTTTCTATAAAATAAAAAAAACATCTTGAATAGTCTAAAACTTTAAAAATTTTTTGTTTTTCATTCTCAGCTGAACAAATGCCACTGTTCAACCACCATCAAAAATTCGCAAGTAAACTTTAAATCACGTAGGTTGCTCATTCGATACGTATAGGTAAACACAAGTGATCTGACAAAGAAGGAATTTTAGTTGAAATAAAATTTTGTTACGCTTCTTCCTACGATATTTTTTTAGGAAGACGCACCACTTACCCAAACAATCTAACGATGAGGTAGAACCCAAATGAGCAGTTGATTTATTTTCCGAACATGGTAAGCAGTTTTTAGAGAACTGCTTTGATTGGTAAAAACCAATTTCACAAGGAAAACACGGAGCTAATCCGTCTGTAGAAAAGAATCCAGGATTACATACTTCTAGAAAAAATAAAACCGTAGGAACACTAAGAACATCTTTTCTTTTTTTTTCTTTAAAAGTAAAGCTTTGAAAAAAGATACATTTGCCTTTACATAGCTAAATATAATTTATTTACAATTAAAAATAATATTTCTAAAAAATAAACCAAAAAAATCTAGAATTTTTGAAAAAATTCTTAATAAGAAAAAAATAAATTGCTTTTAACCCTTCTTTTTCAAGTTTAACTTTAACAAGTCAATTTTCTTAGCGTATATTTGTTGCATACGTATATTCACTTGCAATCAATTAAAAGTTTTAACGAAAAAATTAGGCTGATAAACAAATAAGTTACCAACGCACTGCTCCGCAGAATAGGCTCCAACTTCCCTGGTAGTTCTTCCAGGTGGACACAGTGTGCATTCTCTAGATCCCAGTTCAGCACTATACTTCCCATATGGGCATGGTATACATTTATCTTTCCCAGTATAGGTGCCATATCCGCAAGCTTCTTAAGAGCGTCAAAATTATAGCTATTTTTAACAAGAAAGAACAAACTTACTCAAATATTGTACAACTTATTGCAGCTAGCAGGTTGCGGTGAAGTAGGATTAAAACTTCATCTACTTTTTGGTCAGTACGCTAGTTATTATATTCCTCTAACACTGTTACCTATGTCAAAATTGCGCTTCTGTCTAAAGCTAAATAAAATAAATAAACAAAAGAATTTTACAGTTATTTAACTTTTCTGTACGTGGCCTAACAAGGTATAGAGTAAAGAAGAAGAAATATTGACACTTCAACCTTATTGCAATGAAGATTAGTGATTGTTAAAATTATTGCCATGAAAGCTTAACCAACAAAATGAGTAAAAAGTCAGAGACACTTGCATGAGCAAAAAGAGAAGATAATAGAACCAGTTTGAAAACAAACAATTAGTCTTCAGAAACTCACCACAAATTGTTACATTGTCTTTAACTGAAATAAACCATCCTTTTGTAGGGCAGTCAATAAACAGTGTAGCATTATAAGATGTTACATTAGCATCACAAATATTCTAAAGTACATAACTTTGAAAAGACTCTCTTTATTAAAAATTTAGTTCTTTTCTTTAATAGTGGTAAAAAAAATACGAGCCAGTTAGCTAAAAAGAATTAATGACTTAACGGAATCGCCGATTAAATAAATTACCTTGATTTTTACTCCACCTTCTTTAAATTTCTTAATAAACTTATTTGCACCTTCTTCAATACTTGGTTGGTCAGCTAAATCCACATTCAAACTGTGTAACAGAAAGGTGATTGTTTTGTCATCAAAACGCGGAATTTCACCTTTCCACGAACAGTTTGAGTAGGACGACATCTCAGCGTGAAACTCCTTTTGTATCTGTAAAATTCTGGATTAAAAAGTAAAGATATCTATATGAGCAAAAGAATTTGTATTTTGAAATTTTGAAACTACCAAAACTTTTTTCCGGTGTGCCACAAATTTTTTTGACATTTGAACTAATAAAGTTATTTCCTGTGTGCAATGCTGGTGAAGAACATTAATTTTTTATATAGCCATGCCGCTGTAAAGGTGTAAACTTCCTTTTAACTTTTTTCTAAACTTTCCCTTTCCTCCCTAGAACGGATTAAAATAGCTACCGTTTGCTGACTATTACAACAATGGTGTACATAATCTGAAGTATTAAGATTTCTTCTTAATAATCAATCACGTGCTTCTACTTACTGAGTATAAAAACAGCGATAAACAGTTATTTCCTTTTAAGCTTCCCAACGTAATTGTGCACTCCATGTACATACTTGGTGTTTGATGAGCTGTAAAAATTCCCTTAAATTTTCTGTAAAAAAGTACAAAGCTAAGGATACTTTAACACTTGACGACAGAAATAAACTGAGGGTTTCTGTCAATTAAATAAATTAAGTTACTCAACTGCAAACCGTGAAAAAAAAAAAAACAAAAATGTCACTAAAATTATGAAACAAAATTTTTGATAAGAACTCACGAATGCAAACTGGAAAATAATTTGGAACAATTTCCGCTCCAAGATATGTCTCCGTTAAGGAAGAGTTGATTTTCCAAGTCGGAGGATATGTACATAGCAAGTGTTCTCTTGGATACTCTCTCCCCTGACAAGGAAGTCTTCGTGTGCAAATTTGTTGCCCTTCCTCGCCTTGACAATCGAATTCGTCGTTGTTTGTTACCCACCCACTGCAGTCAATCACTAAAACTGGATGGACTTGTATTTTTCTATTATCCTACTGTTAACAAAACATGTCCATGAAATTTAGGTCTGATGAAGTTATTAACTTCCAAGTCACATTTTTATGCAGAATTTTAACTCGAGCCTTAACCAAACTTGATGTAGCGAGTAACTTTTTTGATACTGTAATGACTTCAGTGAATCCATCACACATACTGAGATGATATTACAGTTACTGGTTAGCATGTTGCCCAAAAGAGAACAAAGAGCGTTTGAAAGTGCATTTAAATATCACTTTTTAAAAACAAGTAGCGCGTCAGTGACTTCCAGTGATATGCTTTTGACCTAATTAGCTTTGAAAACAAGAAAAAAAAGTAGACATTAAAAAATTTGCTTACAAACTGCTTTAAACCAAAAACTGCATTCCGCTGAATTCCCAAACGCATCCACTGCTTTTACTTCGACTAATTGTGGCTCTCTAATGTCGACCAATGACAGGTTTTTTGGAGTTGTTTCTACAGTAACTTCGGAATAATCGGAAACTTTGACTGGAGGCAAAACCATTGTGGTAAAAGACGAGTTCAACCGACCCACATGTTGCACGAAAATTTTAGGACATTCTAGCAAAGGCGCCCAAGTATCTGAAAGAATTCATTTTCATTGTAAATCTAATCTAAAAATCTAGTTGCAATCTTGACAGAACCATTGTAAAGTGGGTATACAGATAATTTCTGAAGACAGCAAAAAATATCTTGTGGTATCTGTTGTTAAGCTGAAAAAAAGAAAGCAAGTAATTTAGCTGATGATTATCCTTACCAGAAAAATTAACCTTTGTCGTACAACTAACAGTCTTTCCGTAACGACTTTTAGCTGTCCATACAATCTCCTTAACAGAAGGATCCAAAAAATACGGGGATGATCCCAGATTAGCAAAATTACTTGTCAAGGTGAAATCTGGGTTAGTGTCATAAACTCTGGGAAAAGGGATACGCGTCGGTTTGGTGAATTCCTTATTAAACCTAACAAAGCTGTCTCCATCAGTAATATTGTGTTAATTGTGATCAACGAAAGCTTATTAAAATTTATTACCTATAATTCCCAGGTAATTTCCTAAAAAACTCTGCAAAGTCGTAACTCTAATTTCAGTTCTTAAAAAAAAAGAATAAAATTTCTGTAAATTTAAGTTTTTTGGATGAACAACAGCTGCTAGAAACTTACACTGTGACATTTATCCAATCTTGGCATTCAATGTCTATGTTAGTGGTGTCAATACAAGTTGGCACGTATCCGACGATCGCTGGCGATCGGTTCGGCTGCGGTAACCAATTACAGTAATCGCTGTCACAGCACAGAGTGCATTGTTCTCCACCGTTCATACACGCAGTTAAGTTTGAGTAAACTGACTGACAGGTGGCTGAACAACCCCGATACACCTGTACAGTAGTTGAAGTTGGCACTACTTTTGCATAGCATTGTTCGCCAATACTGCACTGCATTTTTGAATTTGGAGAACATCCTTTATCCTTCGCACACTCATAACACTTGACTGCTTAAAAAAATATGCCATTTATTTGTTATCAAAAAAGCTTGATTTTTTCATATTAACCTTTTTTTGCAAAAACTTCTTTTATTACCTCTACGAACACAACCCCCAAATATATTCGCATAATTAGAGTTGCAGAAACACATTGCAGACGATGCGTTTACCAACTGCCAGCTACCGTCACTTAAACAGATAAGTTTTGGACCATTTTCATCATACGTTGACGCCTCTTTTATACAGCTTCCTGTCACAAGTGCAGCTTCTTTTTTTGTTGGTGTTTCCGGAAATATTGCATGTGCCAGTTGTATCTGAAACAATTAAATACAATGCATTTTAAAAAATGTATTCTTATAATTACACTTATTATTTTCTGACATAATAAGTAAATAAAATACCTGTTTAAGACTAAAAACTAATAGTAAAAAACGAAGTTAAATTCATATACCAAAAAAAGCAGTTTTATAGAATACAGAGTAGTGCTTAAAGGCATAGCATAGCTATAACATACCTCAGGACAGCTAACAGTCCAAGTTTGAACAGAAAATATTTTTGCGGTTAATCCTTGACTTTTAAAACCAAGGTAAAGAAAATTTTTTTGGCGTGGGATTTTGACCTCAAATTTCGTGGTGTTTGATGAAAGTGTTGTAATAGTAAAAAATCGCTGAATGGTTAAATCCTCGACAATTTTTGTAGATGAGAACTGTAGGAATTTGATGTAACAAGACAAACATCTAGTCGCCGTATAGTTTACTGTTATCAACAGAAAATCGGCTTTAGAGGAAAACGGAGTTGTTATTAGCCATCTGAAATTTTCTGGATGTTATCATTATTTATCACATTTCATCATATTTCTTATAACATAATTTTCTTTAATTTTTTGCAAATTATAAAACTAATGACCAATATAAGCATAAATATATATAACTTAACGATATTACTACTGAAGCTGCTTGTATTAAAAACCTGAATAAAAAAATTAATTAAAGTTAAAATTTTGAATTATTTACTCTTCTCGAGCTGATCGTGCAAGCATCCATGTATAGTTTTCTAGATCCTGTTTCCACTGAAAAAAAAATGTCTTAAATATAAAATCTATTCAGGAAGTTTTTGTCAAAAAAAATTTTTCTCTATTAGTTTGTAGTTTCCCTTTTCGTCGGTTTACAAATCATTTACGAAGTTCACAAGGTTAAGGCTAATATTATCATATTGCAGCACTCATATTTTTTGATTCTGTTTGTTTAACGACTAATAATATAAGATTAAATTTTTTTAAAATATATCTCTTTATCTTTCTTTGTCTATGTTTACGAAATACAATGTAAAAATTGAGACCGTACAGCTCGTGAATGTTTCCAGTTAACCAATTCGTTATTGCTGTCATAAATTTGCTCTGCAAATTAAACTATTTTATAATCAGAATGACAACATATAACGTTTATGTAGATCCTTTTTTTATTACACTTATTAATTGAGAAAAAACTAAAAGTTGTATACTCCAAGCAGTCAACCTCTTTTTGGCGAATGAGACTGAATGACTTGAGCCCAGTTGTCAGCAACGTTAGCTTCTTGTCTGACAACCACATCAGTTGTTTTGGCATCAACAGTTCTGCCACCATCGGAAATGACACACTCATATAGCCCACTGTCAGCCACCTGAAAACAACAACAATTCAATCAGTCCTTGAAACTTTTTAAAAAAAATTTTAAGTCCTCGAAAACAGTGCTATTAGATAACATTTTCAGCAAAACTACCACTTATTGTCACAGCTTCGACTAGTTATAGATGATTTTTGATTATGCCAAAGCATAAATGGTTTTACCTGAATGAAGTCAAAGTACAATCCTAATTTTAAATTTGTACTTTGAATACTCAAAGGTTTTGATGTTGAACCGTTCGCTTGCCATCTCCAATGCATCTGAAAAACCTACACGCTATTACGCGCCAATCAATTGCACTTTTTCAAGTATAATTTCCAATTTAATCCAGGTTTGACAATTTAATGATTATGTAACCAAAAGACAGAAGTGCCTTGAGTAGATAAGAATCTGGAATTTAATACAAATCTGAAGAGGTACATAACAGTGCATGGAATGAAGTTTTTACTTAAGCCTTACAGTAAAATTTTTACAGAATTCTTCCATAACGCACCACAACACCATTTGTGAGCCGACCGATACAGCTGTTTCAGGACTCAACGCTTTTACACATCTGCTTTTATTTAGCGATTCAGTTGTCTCCATAAGTCCCGGAAGTGGCAAACTGCATTTCACTGGTGTCGTATCTGAAACAGTAAAAGTACCAAAATTTTCTATCACCAGTTACCGCTTTTAACTTTCTTCGCTTCTTCAAATACTATAATCTCTTCAAATTCCAAAAGCCGCGCAGTTATGCAAACATGATTAATAGATACAAAAGAACTGAATAAAACTAGACAGTGAAAAACACTGATAACCGTTAAGAATTTTATTTGGTTCTTTACAAGCAAACGAAACGGTTTCGCCAGGTAATAGTTTGCTTTTTTGCGGCACCACATCTGGTGAAACTTTCAGCTGACAATGTTGTCCTAAAATTCTTTGATTTTCTAGAGATAAGTCTCAATTAGCTTTAATTCTGCGTCTAACTGCAATTCAGTTAACATTTGCGAAAGAAAAAGAAAGAAAAGTAAGAAGAAATTTTCAAATTTAACAGATACACTCCAATTGCAATTACTAATTTATAAATTGAAAATTTTCATAATTAATTTTTTTTAAAATTGTTTTGCAACCAATAAAACTTCAAAATTAAACTGGAAAAAATTAAGTTATCAAACGGTCGCTTACTGATACATTTTGGCAAAACTCTATTCCAGTTTCCTTTACTGCAAATCATTTCAACGTATTCTTCACCAGTTTCAAAAACATATCCAGACTGGCAAACATAATAAACTCTAAAGAAGTACGTAAAAAATTCAGTACTTAGTTTTTAGGATGAAAATTAATTTAGCTGTCAGTTCCCTAACAAAATTCTGCTGAAACCCTTAAAATACAAATGTTTTGTTTCATGTGCTACTAAAAATCAAAACTTGTAGACCAAACTTACCCTAACAAAAATAGTTACTACTTTTTGTGGAATAATATTCTATCAAATAAAACACAAATACGTATTACTTAAAGCACTCAAAAATAGTCTGTAATAACAATTTCCAGTATAACTAATAACCAATAAATTGAAAAACCAAACTGCAACAAAGCAATCTACCTAGTTTGTGCATCAAATGATCCAGTTACATTGATATCGATTTTAAGTTCTATCACTGTTCTGTTGTCATACTGCAGTTCAGAGCAGTGATTTGTAGGCAGAACTGAAATGCTCATTTAAAAATTTCTGACTAAAGTTTATATTAACTTGATGTTACTTTAAGAATTTTAAAAGAGTATAAAGGCCGGTTTTACTGAAAGACAACTGCTAATAATTTAATAACATGTAACAGTCTTAATTCAATATA